TACTGCGTCTGCTAGACGCATATGGGGAAAAAAGCCTTTTTTCTCCTGAAAGGACGCCTATTTCATTCACGCAGTGAAACTGCACGGCCATTGGTTCGTGCAGGGTTTTAAAAACGAACCAATGGCGCTGCAGCGGAGCTGCACGAGCCTATGGCGATGAAGCCCGCAAAAAGCCCGCCAGAATGGGCGGGGCATCTGGCTATATAAGCGGGCGCTCCACAGGATTCTCAGATTTCTTCTCCTTCAGCAGCATCGGATGCAGAGGAGCTGTTGGGCTCGGAGAATGACCCCACCCACTCGCCATCATCCGCGCCCAGCGCCACCAAAGATGGGACGGATACCGAGCTTCTCCGTATCCTCTCCAAGGCGGTCGAAGAGCTGGGTTTATAGTGGTCCCCTCCAGAGGAGCCCTCTCGCGGCCGTCTGGATACAGGAAGAGGATGGGGTCAGATCTCGCCACGGCCGGACCGCCCCTTAAGCAGCCTCTCTTACACCTCTTGACACCCCGTTCAGCTCTGGGTACAGAGGGAAATGTGTCTTGTGCAAACAACGGGGCCCGTTCATGCGCCCAAGCATCCGACCGCTGTGATAGTGGGAAAAATAATAAAACACAAACATTTTCAAAAAGAGAGCAAACTTCCTCTTCCATCACTACGTGATTCTGCCCCATGCGGCCAGTCACCCGAGTTAATTCAACCCCTCGTCACACGGGCCGAGGCCTGGCAGGCCATCCCCGGGGTGTCGGAATGGGTTATGGGCATAATAAAGCGAGGATATTCACTCCAATTCGCTCGAAGACCCCCGCACTTCAGCGGCGTGGTCCCCACCTCCGTGCAGAACAAGGACGCCCATGTCCTGCGTTCAGAGGTGATGAATTTGCTGGCAAAAGGAGCATGGGGATGGTTCACAGAAGGACAGCTGTCACGACAGACGCCTCCAACTCAGGTTAGGGGGTGCTGTGCAAGGGCATACCGACCTTCAGCCACTGGTCAATGGCGGAAAAAGGCTTCCACATCAACTGCCTGGAAATGTTA